GCCACTTATCAACTAGGTGCTGACAGACGAGTAGTTAAGCTCACTGAGCCTCAGTTTCTTCATCTACAGGTTGAAAGTAGGAACACTACCTGCATTAGAGGTTTGTGGGCAGATCTGATGGAACCATGATGACAATAAACAACCATACCATAGCTTTCTATCCTCTTATTAAGTTCCAGACCCTATGTCCAACAACCTCCTAGACATTTCCACTTGGATCTTGCCCTTTTCTCAAACTCAACACCCCTAACACCAAATTCATCTTCCCCTATCATTAGCCAGGATCTCCTAACTCCTCTGGCCCTATCCCTGACACTCCCATTCTCCAAAATGCCTACTGCCAATTTTAAAATTACACAAATGTGTTTACTGCTAGTCAGACTAGAGTGGAAATGGTAGTCTCGATCCTTGCTGCTAGCAGGCTCATTGGGAGCAACACTTGCACAGCGAATCGAGTCATAAACGTGTTCAAACCCAGCAATTTGACTTCACTGGAATCTGTCCTAAGGAAATAACACAAAATATAGAAAAAGCTGCTTCCCAAGATGTTTAGAACAGTATTATTTATATCAGAGAAAAAAAGAAAGAGAGAGAGAGAGAAAGGAAGGAAACAATTTTATCATCCAGGAAATAGTAAGCTAACTTACGGTACACAGTTTCAACAAATGTTTGTAGTTAATAAAAATGAGAGGGAAAAAAAATGAGAGGAAAATGCTAATAACAAAATAAGTTTAAATGGCAACATTTAAAACTGTAAGTGAACTTGTCCCTACATAAAGTAACAGATACTTAAAAGGAAATATACCAAAATGTTCCATTTCACTCTGTCAATATGCTCAGCATTTGTGAGAGACTCTTCTCTCCTCTCTGGTTCCAGATATTTGGCCCAAGCCCGGATGTTACTTGATTTGCTTTGACTATGGCCTCTTATCCCAGATCTCTTCTCCTTCAGACTGATCACTCCTTGCCTGGCTTCTACAAACCTGTTTCATTACTCCACTTGACAATCACTAGTTCTTGCTGCATTGGTCCTTCGAAATCCCACCCCTCCTCTCCATTCACAAAGCATCTTATTTCAGACCCTTACCATTTGTCTCTTCCTTTGCTGCCAGCAGTGTCATCCCTCCCATCACCCTCCAATCCATTTTCCTGGCCCTGCTGACAGGCAGACAGCTCTCAAATCTTATCATTTGACCTACGAAGAGTTCTTCAAGCAGGCCCTCTCACCTGCAAGGTAAGATACGAGCTTCCAACTCAGACAAACAAGACTTTTTCTGATCTGGCCCCCAAACTGCCTCAAGCTTCTGCCAGTCAGGCCACCACTCCTCTCCCCCCAACCAAGATCCTCCAGTCCAACTCACTGTCCTGTCTCTACCCCTGGCCTACATAGCACTCCAGTCACGCATCTGACACTGTGAACACCCTCAGGGCAAGAATTCTAGCACTCCATCTCATGACCAACATCACCCTGTGACTCCCTCACTGGACAGGAGGAAGGAGCAGGCTGGCGTTCCTCACCTTTCTACATCATTGCCATGTGTATTTCCACTACCAGCTCCCATTTCCCCTTGCCTGGAACTGCCTTCCCGCTGCCCTTCCCAAATTCTAACCTTGCTCTGCCCAGTATGCAGGCACTAGCCACATACAGCTACTGAGCTCTTAAAATGCAGCTAGTTTGAAATGAGGCATGCTATAAATGTACAATACACACTGGATTTCAAAGACTTGGTATGAAAAACAGAATGTAAAAAATATTAATATTTTATACCGATTACCTGTTGATTACAGATTAGATCTGCGGGATTATATAAAATGTATTATTAACATTAATTTCACCTGTTTCTTTTTACTTTTTTAAATGTGGCTACTAGAAAATTTTAAGTTACACATGTGGCTCAGTAGTCTAGCCATCCTTCAGGGACCAGCATGAGTAAAACCTCCTTCAAGATGCCCTTCTGTTTGTGCCACTCTTAATGATCTTTTTTGACCCCTTGAAATCCTATAATGGAGTCCAACATATAAGCCACTATCTAATTACATACCTACCAAATGCTTACTATTACATCAATTCTTCTTGCTATATCAATACTATTTCTATATGGGGATTTGTAGTAGGTACTCAACTTTTGATTAAACATGGAATCTTTGCTGGAGCAAGATAGCAATACACAGAATTTTTTGATTTCTGTTTTGTTTTGTTTACTCATTTACTCTCCCATTGATGATTTCAACAATACAGGGAGAACTGGAAGTCAGGGGACCTAAGAGCTCTTTGTTCTACCTGCAATTAACACAATACACATAGGCCATTTAGTCCATGGCTTGGCCCCGTGTAAGGTCTGTCTGGGCCTCAGTCTCCCACCTTGTAAAATAAAGTCAATAATAACAGGCCAATCTGCAATATGCAGCCAGATTAAAGTAGCTAAGCAAGTTCTAACTGGAGCCATTACCATGAATGAGAAATACTCCACTTTCCACAGTTCATTGTGTGTCTCTCAGCCAGTTGTCTTAAACACAGACTAATTTTTATAAAGAGAGAACAAATTCACAGCAATTATCAAAATATAAAGGGTGGTGTGGGAAAATACTTATCAAAATACTTGTCCTATCCTATTAATAATGGGAGGAAAGTAATGGGAGAGGAAACTGTTACATGCCTGCTGCAAACTGAAGTAGTTTATACATTATACTCCCAATAACCTTTACAAGGTAGACATTACCATACCCATTTGACAGAGTAAATAAGGTTCAAAGACAGTCTAAGTAACCAGCCAAAGTGATGTAGCCACAGGCTGCAAATCCAGATCAATGGTATCATCTTTGTATGTAAAAAAGAACACCTTTATTATCGCTTGAAGACAAAATATGTGAAAAGCAAGAGTATTACATAAATATGCAAATGAAAATACAACAATAATGTCCATTCATTTCCCTCAAGTAGTTTTCTTGATCTTGGCTAATTCCTGTCTTTCAGATCAAGGGGCCATTTTTTCTAAGTAGATTTTTTCTTTTTTTTTTTCCTAAGTAGACTTTTTCTTAAAGTAGCAAATAGGGTATATGATGTGCTAGGAACTAGTACATTAATGTACGGTGTTTCTTTAAAGTCTTTAAACCACAGTTGTTAGCGAAAGTTTATGTTAGACATTGTGACTAGAATTCTTCAGACACATTTACAAAAATGTAGCCCTTATGGATAAAGATTGCAGCAATAAAGTACACTGGGTCATTCCACAAATAAATGCATCCACAAAAAACAACCTAATATCAAAGAACCTATGTTACAAAACTGAGGTCATAATGAGCTCAATGAAATGAAAAAAGAAAGTTCCTCAAAATAAGATACTGCACCTTAAAGTGAAACCACAATTACACAGCCTTGAAAACGAACTACTTTCTCAGAATGGTAACAATATACTGTGAATCTCTAAGAAGCCGAACTCATCTAGGTTTAATTGATTCTGCCTTTACAAAATGTAGCCAACTTAATCCTGCAGACTTGGACAGAACCGAAGTTCAAATTCTCTACCACAGAAAATGTCCCAGAGTATCAAATGCTTTAAAATACTGTTCAACTTTCCTTTATCAAAAATGTCCCAGCAGTAGGTGTTAATCAGTCACTACGAAGAACTCCACAATGCAACCTGTGTGTGCACGAGATTTTACTACAGGGAGGAGACAGTTCAGTTTACCAAGGACACCACACTTTCAAAAGTCTTGAAAACTAATCCTTCTTAACAGTAAGTAATTAATTTACATTTCATTCCAAACTGAACAAGATAGTGTAAATCTCAAGGAATCCGAGACTGTGAAAAACTTCACTTGGCGAAACCAGGTGTGTGTGTGTGTTTCCTCAGAGATACTTCACAGGGTATAAATAGAAACAATTAGCAACTTTTAATCTCATAAACAAGATCTTTATTTAAAATTCACACATATAAAATGAATTCTTTTATGTCATATTTCCTCAAGTGACAGACACATTAAGACTATGTGTCCTATATCAGGTGTTTTTTCCTCATTTTAAGAATAAAAAAGACATCTAGAAGAAACAAGGTGTCCTTTTCTCAGCCCCCCAAAACACTACAGACAGCACAGGTGTTTGGTCCTAAACAAAAGTTAAGACTAAGTAAGGAAGAAAATAGAAAACAAAACAAAGCCTAGCAAAGCAGCTAGAGATCACGTGCAGCAGGTGACAGGAAGCCTTGTGGACACTTCACAGCCACAAGGATGAGCTTCATCGCAGGTCAACTGCAGGCCCCCCTGGGCTCCACAGAACCTCCACCCAGCAGTCCATAAAAACGAAAGAAGGCAAATAACTATCACTGTCATCCTGGCAATAAAGAAGCAGCAGCCTCCTTGAACCCAGGAAAGCCACCCCTCCCTCCAACAGACAGGAGGAGCCCCCTTCACACCAAGGACACAAAGAAACCCAAGCAGCCAGGCCCAATAAAAATAAAAATAAAAAGAGGAGCATGGGAAGAGAGATGACAGCTAAATTAAATAGGAGCGTTCCGAGGCTCAGTCTATTTGAAGACTCCGACTCAAAAGTAAAAATAAAATTTAAGGGAAGGGGGCCCACAAGAGATGACATTTCAATTAAATCTGTGCTGGAAACACTTGGAGACTCAGTCTACTTAGGGTGTCAGAGTCAAAAATTAAAATTAAAAAACGAGAGGGGAGGTGACAGTTCAATGTGTATGTGTGTGCGAGGAGCACCTGGAGTGCAGGATTTGCTGGGGAGGGGAGAGGCACGGCTCCGCCGACCTCGATGTGACCGGGTGCGAATCTGGGGCAAGTTTACAATCTGGGCGATAGGGCAGAGCCCGAGGGCCAGAGTGCCCGCTGTCGGGGAACAATGCTGGGCCCCGGAAAGGAGGGTCTCACGCCACCTCCACCCCCCCCACCCCCCACGCCATGCCGTCGGCATCGCAGCCCCGACCCTCGTCCGGCCCACGTCGGGGCAGGTGCCCACGAGCCCGGCTCCCCAGCGCGCGCCTCACCCAGCAGCGCCCGCAGGTGCTTCAGGCGCGTCAGTACGTCCTTCTTGGGGTCCAGCACCTTCTGGGTGGACTTCTTCACATCTCCATGGCTCCTTCGGGAGAACATCCCGCCGCGGTAAACCCCGGCCCCGCCGGCGGGGCAGGAGGCGCCTGCGCCGCGCGAATCACCGCATAGGGTCCGGGTCGGCGCGTGTCGCGCGGGCCACTCGCCGCCCCCCGCCGGGCCGCCACCGCTGCCGACGCCGCTTCAGCTGTGGCTCCAGGAAGGAGGGGCGGGCCGGGTACGGCGAAGGGCGGGGCAGGAAGGCGGTGTCGACGCGGATCGACCGCCCCGCCCCGCGGGAGGTGCCGGCCGGCCCTTCGGGCGCGGCGCACGCGCATGCGACTTGAACCCACTTCGCGGGGGCGCGCCCGGAGCGCCGAGTCGGCACAGCGAATCACGAAGAAGCTTGGAGCTTGCACACGCTGTACTACAAGTCCCTGAATGCACTGCGACAGAGCCCTCCAGTCAGGTTGGCGTGTCTTAGGCACGATGGGAGTCAACGGGCTGGGTCTGAGCACGTTCTTCCTCCTCACCCGGCTGAACGCCTCAAGGCCTCTAGGGAAGTGTAGTTCTCCCGGGGGCGAGGCGCTGTGACTTACCTTTCCTGGGTCCCCAAGCCGCTGGACAGCATCGGCCCGCCCTCTCCCCAGAGGGGCCCAGGGCTCCCAAAGCTTCACTCCTTGGTCGGTACTATCAACCCAGTTTCCTCTAGTGCAACGTGAACCACAAGAACATCTCAGTAAGAAAAATTTCAAGGCTTTTAAAATGCAAACTATTTTTCGTTTTGACTTCTAGATTCACACCAAGGAGGGAGTCGAAGTCCCTTTGACTAAACTAAAATCAGAGCTCCAATTTCACACTAAAATGAATGGCTTTGGTAGCAGGAAGGGCATCCCTAGACTCTGGGTGAGGAGTCCAGCCAGTCCCCCTTGGTTCCTGAGATCCAACTTCACTTGGGGTATGAGGTTGCCTTGCCAGAGGGTTCCTCAGGATCTTGTCTCTTGCCTTGTAGGAAGTGCACGTTCTCTGTGTTGTGCAAGGCCGCATAGCAATCGAGTAGCAGAACCAGAAATAGAACCTGAGGGACCTGACTCTCAGGCTGGTATGCGTTTTAAGGCTAGGTGCCTGTAACTTGGAGCAAAACTTTGAGATGGAAAATGGCCTGGAGATGTCTTACAAGAGATCTGTAGGATTTTTTTACTGGCATCTGGATCCTTTGATGCTCCAAATTTTGACAACATTAAGCTGGCTGTTTAAAATCATGTGCTTTCCATCCAATTGGGACAACACAACTTTTTCTCATTTGGGGGAACCTGTAACTTGGGGGAAAAGCCAGAGATTTACATAGCTTTATATTCTTATAACAAGCATGATGTTTGGCCTCTAGAAGCACTCACTAAACGTTTGTTAAATAAAATGGAATAAAAGCTGAAATAGTCCTATTTATCTCATCCAGGCCTGCAAAAACATATCTTCTAGTTGTTAGAGCCTATTTTTAGAGTTGTCAAAATAGCATTGATAGAACTAGGACATATTCATGCAAAGGAATATTATTCAGCTCTAAAAAGGAATGGACTACTAATAAACCCAATAACGTGGATGAATCTCAGATCCAGATATGAAAGCCCCACACTCAAGATGATGCCAGCCTGGGTCTTTTGAGATGACATCTCAAAAAGGGCCACAAACCCTCCAAGATTGTTGCAAGAGAGAAATAGCTTTTTCTTTTAAGGCATTTTGAGTGCCTTTTTCACAGTACTTAGCCTGTAGCTAGTTACACATAGTATGTCACAGTATTCACTGCCCCATCCCTTTAGAAGAAGATACCTTTGATTGAAAAAAATAGGATGCACTTGTCTTAGGAAATTCAAATTGTCTATCACACAGCAACCTGTCATTGTCATCAAACAATTATTGAGGACCTGCTGTGTGCAAGGCATGAATCTAAACCTTGGAGATAAAGAGATGTATTAGATATGGTCTCCTGTCCTCGAAGTCTTCCAATCAAGTTGAGGGGGGTTTAGTTTAGTTTAGTTTAGTTTAGTCCCTTTGACTAAACTAAAATCAGAGCTCCAATTTCACACTAAAATGTGTTGTCAATAAATAGGGAGAGGGACAGAGGGTGAAGGAGAAGCAGACTTCCTGCTGAGCGGGGATCCCCTTGCAATCTCCATGCAGGGCTTCACAAGGACCCTGGGATCAGGACCTGAACTGAAGGCAGACGTTTAACCAACTGAGCCACCAAGCGCCTCTGGGTGGACTTTTTTTTTAAAAAAGAAAAGAATGTAAGAGCCCTCAGGTGGTTAAGACCATTTCTTGGTAACCAATGGGGAACCTGAGCTGAACTGGGTATGTGTTTCAAGATTGAACCAGGGAAGACTGCAGGGCTTTAGAGCTTTATAATTTCCTCCATACACCGCTTACCAAAAAAGCATCATATTTTTCCGATGATAGCAAATTGAATTCAGGTGTTAAGGAAGACAGAGCCCAAGTAACCATGACAGAGGGAGGGAAATGAGAGACCAAGAGGTCCCAAAGAATAAAGAGAAACATTTATTAATTCCTGATGCTGTCTGTAGTAGAATTTTATTTTTTTAAAGATTTTATTTATTAACATAAGAATAAAAAAAAAAAGAAAAAAAAAGATTTTATTTATTTATTTGTCAGAGAGACAGAGCACAAGCAGGAAGAGTGGAAGGCAGAGGGAGAAGGAGAAGCAGGCTCCCTGCTGAGCAAGGAGCCCAATGCAGGACTCCATCCCAGGACCCTGGGATCATGACCTGAGCCAAAGGCAGATGCTTAACTAACTGAGCTGTCCAGGCGTCCCTATAGTAGAATTTTAGAAATTTTTTTTTGTTTTTGTATACAATTTACATAAATTCAAACCAACACATGTTTATTGAACAACTGACACAGCTAAAATTGTGATGACCATAGCTTTGTACTTCCCATTCTTTTCTATTTTACTGAAAATTGGTCTTTCGAGGACCATGTGAAAACTGCAGCTCCTACCATCATTGATGTTAAATACTTATCAAACAGTTCTACAATTCATCATTGTTGGGGTTATGCCCAGCACAGCGCCAGGGTCAGCATTCAATCAATATTTGTTGAATAAATAAATTCATTCATTCATTTCTTCATTAATATCTCAGTCAGCATTATTAGGGAATGTTGTTTAATACAATGTTTTCAATTTAACTAATGTGTTATAAGACATCCAAATTTTAAAATTTTACCCTTCTTTCCTCAGAAATCTTTCTAAAATATAGACAGACTTCTCTGTCTTCTTAAACAGCTTATTCATTGTTTGTGAAACCATAATTTATCCCCCCACACACTGTGATCTCCTTCATCTCTTCTAAACTGGTGTTGCTACTAGACACAAAGGAGAAATGTCTGGTAGAGATTCCTCATCTAATTTTGACCACATCTTGCTCCCAAATTCAGTCACTGCTATCAGAGACAATTTGTTTGCCTTTTTAACTTCCATATTGGAATCTTTCTATACGTTTAGACCTGCCAGCTCTTAGTTTCCAGATAACCTAAATGTTAATGTATTTGCTTTCTAATTTTCACTCATCAGAGTTTTTTCAGTTTGGAAGGATTTGGGGTTTTTTCAGATTGACTAAAATATCTTATGCCCACATATTAATCCTAGTTGTCATGAATATTACATTAATTTTAGTATATGGAAAAATTCAACTTTTAGCTGCAGATTTTCCTCTCAGATAAGCTCATTGTGCCTGTCCTCAGGAGTAAGATCTTTTCGTACGTCAGACATACTGTGGCTCTTCATTTGGATGCTATTGCCACAGAGAGCCTGCCCCTGTGAACCCCTGTGACACAGTCTATTTTTACTGATCATTGGACCTTTGCATTCTTATTTTCTTAAAAAAAAAGCTACGACCTAATAAATTCAATTTTTTTCTTACATCAGCTCTTACCCTGAAATGTTGAATTCATTCAATGTGTATGTTGTGCCCCTGTGAATCTGCACCTATCTAAAATCCCTAAGAAAGAAGGGATGGCCCTCCATAAGAATGAAATGCCAAACTCAACACTTAAGAAACAAGAAACCCAATGTCCTCATTTTCCAGATGATATATTACTGTAGACACCGAAAATATATTTTTTTCTCCTCCAAAAATATTTCCTAATAGTTTCTTTTCTTTCCAAATAACTGTCAAATGAGAAGATTTAATACTTAACTTTAAACTTGACTATAAATCATTTTATATGAGAATTTCACTTCAGGACAGACCTGAAAAAGTTTTTGAAAATGTACTAGCCATTTTGATATGTCTGGTGGACGCTTGATAACAAAGCAATGCTTTAAGGGAAAAGAACCTAATCGTTTTTCTAAATTTAGTCAAGCAGATGTTTTCACAGCTGTGCATTTCAACCACAATGTCATCTGCTTTGGATATATTTTCATTTTTTTTTATTATCAGAACAGTATTAACATTTCAGTAAACATGTCAACATTAGAAAAATATAAGCCCATAAGTAAGGATCATAAGAAATTTTATAAATTAAAAAAAGACCCATATCTTTGAATGATAATGTTGGAAAAATCAAGAATCATGGAAATTATCTAAATAGTAAATACAACTTGAATAGAAGGATGATGTACAAAGGCTAGAGAGATGAAGTTTTAGAGGTGAGAAGCCTGTGAAAATGTGCTCATTAGCTCACCTCTTCCCCCAATACACAAAATGCCACCATTAGGTTTAATATTAGATAAGATTTACTCCCTAATTTAGAGCCAGGTGCTAGATTTTCTAAAAATGAATGTAGATTATAGAATGTCAACAAACACTATTCATTTAAAATGGAGAAAGCCAGGGCGCCTGGGTGGCTCAGTCGTTGGGCGTCTGCCTTCGGCTCAGGTCATGATCCCAG